GTGCTATCTCGTAATCTATCGATGCTAGAGACTTGATTTTACCACCATTCGACGCGTCTCGATGAGAGGATTCCAACGAGCTATGGCTCGTCCTTGTACGATCACTGGATGGTCGTATATTCGTTTTTTTGCATTTTTTCTTAATTTCGGATAGAACTGAACCGAACCGGACGGTTCCAAGTCCAAAACCGAACCGAGAACCGAACCGAATTTTTTGCCGGTTCCGGATCGGTTCCCGGTTCAAACTGGAACCGTTCGGAGCTTTAATCTTGTGTCGAAGGTTTTTGCTGCGCCTGCCGCAGCCAGAATATTCTGGTTTCCAATTCTTTCAACGTCGTTATTATGTTCTCTATATGCGAACCTCAGTATACTTTTGGCTATTATTTCTATGGTTTCACCTTTTATGCCAGTAATATTACTTATTTCCACTAGTAACCTATGTGTTTTTAGCGTCCTGAAAAATATTTTGTCGAAAATATCCTCTAACTCGTCTTTATGCCTAGAATTGGCTTTTGTAAAATTTTTGCTCACAAAAGACTTGACTTCTTTTAATAGATGTTCCTCGAACTCCTCTTGCCCTCGATATGACTCCATATTTATTAGTGTTTTAATAAGAAAAAATAAAAAAATTTTTTTTTTATTTTTGTAATTTTAGTTTTCCTTACTGCGGATTTCTAATAATTTTTAGTCCTACGGGAAAGAGTTTTTTTTTTTTTTACGTAAAAAGGGAATTCCCGTTCTGTTGACCTGGCCGCAACTTTATGTTGCCTTATTATCCTTCTCTTTTTCCTTTTATTTTTATTTTTCCATTTCCACAAAAAGGATGTTACAATTCAAATATAATAAATTAATTCTTCGTGGACCACGTAATAATTCGCAACTAAAAATTTCCTTTGAGATATAACAATTAATCTCATTTAAGATTACAATGAAATCCTCGGAGAATATATCGAAATCTGATATAATTTTGGCATTACCCGTAACAGTTTTATATTCTATTTTATGAAGAAAGGAAATATCTATCTATTAAGGGTCCAGTATATTACGTCATCATTTGTATGTGACCATATGACGATCATTTTATATGATCACGTGACCACGAAATTGACGAGAAAACTCTTGGAAAAATAAAATATTTCCAAACCTACCATATGAATTTTATTAAATATACGTTCAAATAATAAATATAATGCATCCTATCTACATTTTAACCATTTATTAATATTTCTATATATTTTTATGGGCAAAACTTAATGAAAATACCATTTGCTTGATTGATATTGTACATTAAAGATAATAACTCCACAAACGCCAAATATATAATTCAAGGTTATTAAATTAATTTATTTGCCTTTCCATTTCATTATAAAATTATAATAATCTAATTATTTACTTCACAACACATGAAATATTTTGTATTTAGTTTAAAGGAACAAATACGCTTAAGATAATAAAAAAATAAAATGGTATTAGTAAAAATTTTTATTTGAATATGATGCTTGCTAATTTTTTGATATAAATTATTTAACTAATTACTATATTATTACGTCTCAAAGTTTCGCAAGTTTTAAGTTAATTTAAAGTTAGTCTAATTAGAGAATTCACAACTTACCTTAGAGAATTCGCAACTACTGTTAACTTCATATGGTAGTTTTTCGTTGTAAACTATATTTATACTATACTTTTTTAAAGTTTATTTGAAAAACCAGAAACTTTGGCTCTCTAACAGATATTTTTAAGCAGGAGTTTGAAAAATATTAAAAAATTTTTTCTTGTAATGAAAGTAAAAAAAAGATGATCTCCAATTTTTTGCCATATATGGGATGACGTAATATACTGGACCCTTAATCACCATATTTTTAAGAGAACCCGAAATATATATAAAAGATAAAAGACAGCAAGGCCGGAATTATTATAATTTCAGTCATTGTCCAAAAAAGGTAATGGCTTTTCAACCGGCATTATCTAAAAAGGAACGATGAAAGAATTCTTTAAATAATTTTAAAAATAACAGCGATTATTTTAAAATTTCCTAATTCCTATTTCCAAGAATCCCGAATTCCAATATATATCATGAATGGACAATTTCCTGAAAAATATGACAATAAACTTTAGAAAAGATCTTACGAAATAAGAATCAAAGGATATACTTTCTCTAGAAAGTTATGAAATATTTCAGATTAAAAAATAAGTATAAAATATTATACGGGTCACATGACGCTTTTCTGATCAACTGTAAAAATTTTTATTATTGAATTAAAAAAAAGTATGAATTGCTAAGACTGTTCATTTATTACAACAATATTTTTTTTATATATGGATATGCTGATTTTAATTTTTTTTTTTTAAAAAAAAAAGAAAACCAACTTATAAAATGTGCAATAATAATATATATATTTACTAAAATTAAAAAAAAACTTCTTTTCTAAGGATGGACTGTTGGGGATCGGTCAGAAATATTTATAATTTTTTGTTAAAAATTGAAAAACGATGTTTTTAATAATAGATCTTTAAATTTTTTATTAAAAAAAAAAATTGCTTTGCCAACAAATTGTTCCAATTTATTTTATTTTATTTTTTATTTTTTATTTTATTTTTTTATTTTTTATTTTTTTTTATTGAAGAAAAACGATTTTATTAATAAAAATCGATTTTCTTCTTTTTTTTAAAAAGAAAGAAAAATGATTTATTATTATACGCATGTTTTAGCTAGATAAAAATCTATAAAGCTGAATGGATTAAATCTAAATGGCTATAATATCACATTAATTCTAGGACAAGCACGAAATTAAAACAAATGTGAATTATAGGTAATATGTCTATATTGATATTTACATGGTTGTGATGATTCACCGGTTGGGCAAATTTTATAAATTTTAGTTCTAAACACTTTTTATTCTCTTGAAAAGAGAGATTCTGCCACTAGATGTTGATATATCGATTCCATAGTCCTTATTATTGTTAATTTTACTTTTCTATCAACTCCTCTTTTTTCAATTCCCTTTTTAAATAGCTGAAGGGCTTTCTTTTTATCTATGTTAACTCCATATCCTAACGTGTAGCATAAACCTAATTTGAAACAAGCAATGGCGTTTCCATTTTCTGCAGCTATTTTATATAATTCAAATGCTTTCGTCTCGTTAATATCAGTCCCAATTCCATACTCATAACAATAACCCAGATTTAACTTTGCATCTATAAATCCTTGGCTGGCTGATTGATTGTATAATTCATATGCTTTTCTTTCATCTTTTTTTACGCCTTTTCCTAGTTGATAGCATCCACCTAAGTTAAATTTTGCAAATTTACATCCATCTTCAGCTGTTTTATGAAAATAATAAAATGCTTTCTCATAATTTGTTTTTGATAACATAATTCCAAGATAGTTTAATCCATATTGAGTCAAACTTTTGGAAGAAAAGATTTTAGGAAATTTTGTATCTTTAAGTTCGTCTATCTCAACTCTTTCTTCTTTACTAAAATATATTTTAAGTATATCTTTTGCAAAAAAATTTCCATTAATTGTTGCTTTTTTATACCAATTAAAAGCTTGTTTTTTATCTATTTCTGTTCCAATTCCATGATAAAAGCAATTTCCAAGTTGATATTGTGCATCAATTACATCTTTATTAGCCAGTATTCTGTAATACTCAAATGCTTTAGTTTCATTCTTGTCAACACCTTTTCCTAATCTATAACAATCCGCAAGATAAATTGTTGCTGTAATATTTCCATTTTTAGCTGCTTTTCGATATAGTTCAACTGATTTCTTTTTATCTATTAGGGTTCCAATTCCAAATTCATAGCAGTATCCTAAATAAAATTCTCCAATATTACTTCCATTTTTTACAGATTTTTTATACCAATGAAATGCCAAGATATTATCTTTTTCAGTTCCACATCCATCATTGTAACATTTGGCAAGATAAACTTGAGCTAACGAATAATCACTTTTTGATGCCTTTGAAAATAATTCAAATGCTTTAACACTATTTTCTTCTATACCAATATTATAAATATTATAATAATATAACAATCCAAGAAAATGTATATATTGTGATCCAACTTGATTTTTTATTAACCAATTTGCGAGTTTGTCTTTAGTTCGACCTGATTTTAATATTTTTTCATTTATAATTTCTTTAATCTGGTCAAATGTAATACCTTTATCATGATTTTTGATCATGATTTTGATTAATTCATCAATAACAATATTATCAATAGATGATTCAAATGTATCTGTTGACGATGTTGTATTATTATCACGTTCCATTATACTTAAAGTAACATTTTGGCCCATATATGAGCTTAAACTTCCTTCAAACTTAATATTACTTGGTACTGATAAATTATCATTTATTCCCATAGATTCTTTATATGAATTTGAGTTACTATATTGATCGATTAGTAAATTATCTTCTTTTCTTTCGCTATTAATATAAAGAATTATGTCACTTCTTTCGAGAAAAATTGATCCAAGATTAGAGACAACCTCTTGTATATCTGGACGTTCATTTGGTTCATATTTCCAACATTCTAAATTAAATAAACAATAAAATTGTTATTAATCTTCTTTTAAGTATTAAAATACTAGATATTTCGCTTATTACCTGAATATAAATTACTATATTCAATTGGAGTTCCAACAATAATTTCTTCTCTTTCACCATTGGAAATAGATAAAATTAAACTTAAATCATAATTAACACCTTTAGAAGAAAACGGTTGATATCCACTCGAAATTTGCCACATTAAAACTCCAATACTATATATATCAGATTTTTTATCTAATTTATATTTTTCATTTTGATTCTTGTTAAACACTTTCGGGTCAACATAAGGAATCACACCATGTATTTTGGATATATTACTTGATGCTTCGGCAATCTTCTTTGATAAACCAAAATCTGCCAACTTAATATTTTTCTGATGTATAAGAACATTGTTCGCGTGCTGTTTTTAAATTAAAATAAGAAAGAAATAATCAAAATTTGACATAATAAATTATAAAAGAAAAAAAAAAAAATAATTGATCATTACCAGATCGCGATGAATAATATCACGTTTATGTAAATGTGATACAGCACTTGCTAATTGAAATGCCAGTTTCAGTTTGTCATTCCATTTAAGTTCATTAAAATGCTCGTTTAAATAAGTTTCCAATGTACCACTATCAGCATATTCCAAAACTAACGAGTATTTTATCTCTTGAGATACTTCAATCGTTTCATCTAAAAATATATATGTTTTTTTTAATACCGTAAAAAGTTGTTGTTATTATTATAACGATGGTTTATTTCTAATACTTACCATCTTTTACTTTTGTGATTCCATAAAAATATATAATATTTTCATGAGAATTAACCTTCCGATGTAATTTTAACTGCGGTATTTAAACGAAAATTAAGAATAATCTTTTCATATAATTTAAAAAAATGTAAAAGATGTAAAAATTTTTGAAATATATTTATTTTAATACCTCCTTAATAATTTCTTTAAGTGTTACTTTATCATTTTTAAAGAACTTCAAAGCAAAAAGTGAATCGGTGTTTTTCCATGTAGCACGTACGACGTTTCCAAATGAACCACCTCCTATTAGTCGTTTGTTTTTAAAATCTGAATAATCGTAATAATCTATCTTTTGTTTAATAATTGATTTTTCCAACCAATTAATATGATAATTTGTTTCTGCCATCCTTAAAAATTGAAATTTATATTTTAAAATTTTCAGGCTCAAAGAGCAACGACGATAAGAAAAATGTACGAAATATAAACATATGTATTATGCAGATCTACTCGTACAAAAGAGTTGGTGTGACCCGTGTGACCTCACTCTTATGTGCTATTCAAATCACCATTGGTCATTTCGTTGTGCAAATATTTACATGATATGACATAGCCAATTGAATAAAAGGTAAATTATAAATAATTTACATAACATTCAAATAAAAATAGACTTAAAAGGTAAGTTACACGAGTTACAGACTATGCTAATTATTAATAAGAGTAAATTTTTTATAACAGCGATAGTAACACCAAAGTCTATTAATAATTATAATTTTTAATTTTAAACTAACAATAGCCTATTGCTTCGCACCAGGATCAATGAACTTACACAAAGAATATTTTGGAGCATGAAGAAAAATATTAGATTCTTTGTTAAATTTCAGTGATAAATGAAAATGATCGGCATCTCTTAATGACATAATCTATGATAGAAATCCGTAATAAATTTGACGGATACATATATTATACATAATACAATTCAAATTAGTTTATACAGGGTAACCTAAATATTACCAAAATTTTTAATATAAAGATTGCTCTGCAGTTATCACTTTTATTTTTGACAAATATTTACGGTCAGTGACAAAAGCTTGCACGTGACTTCTTAAATTCTGGCCCGAAAATAATTTGGCCAGAATTAAGATCAGTGATATCTGTGCAGCTGGCGCAGCTTAAATTTCCGCGCATCACCGGCGCATGTGAAAATAGAGATAGGCGATATTGCACTAAGAGCACTTCATAGGTTGCGCACAACACTTTTGTGAACAATGTGCGCTCTGCACATATAAAAATGATCTGAATTTCATTCCAACACCGATTAAATTCAGAACAACCATTATTAAGTCTGAGGTTGCCCTATAAAAAATAAGTGTCCGGAATTGTCCAGAAATTGTCCTGAAAATTTGTCTAAAATAATTGTCCAGAAAATGTCCAGAAAATGCCAGGTACCATGTCCGGAAATTGTTCTGAAAACACACTCGTTTCCGGACACTCATTTTGTCCAGAATTTGTCCGGAAATTGACCTGAAATATTTTTTCATAAAATTTGGCACAAAAAGATGATCAACAGGTGACCATCATTATAATTGCTTTTAACTTAAAGTTTTATATCATAGATATATAGTATTTTTGCCTGCTCAGCAAATTTAATTAGTATGACAAAGAAGGTTATGAATGTCAGTCTTGTGCTTTTTGCATTTTTCTACAAAATTAATTTATCCTTTTTTGGAAGTAGCGTCCAGAATTTGTCCAGAATTTTTTCATGTCCGGAATTTGTCCAGCTCAAATTATCTGAATTTTTACTATGTCCGGAATTTGTCCAGGTTTATCCGTCCGGAATTTGTCCAAAATTTTATACTGGATAAATTCTGGATATATTCTGGACAAAGTCCGGATATGTCAAAATTTTAGGTATCAAATTTGTAGCAAAAAATAGACATTTTCCGGACAATTTCTGGACATGCCAGATTTATTCTGGACAATTTCCAGACATTTTCGTAGACATTTTCCGGACATTTATTTTTTATAGGGTTGTGTTATTCTACACTGTCGCGTGGCAGACACCAGGACATTCGTATCACCTTGCGTAGAATTATGTAGTCCTTCGTTGCACTTGGGCTTTATTATTAAATGAGATGCACTTAAACAAAATAAGGTAAGTAATAAAAAGATTTCCAAATAAACATGTAAACGTGAAATTTTTTTTGCATTACTTATTAAATTTATCTTACAAAGTGAAATAATAGATTTCAATGATTGAAGCTCAACGTTCTTAAGTTACGAAAGATAGTTAATAAAAAAATGAAATGTTAATTGAACTTTTTAAAAATTCTGAATTGTAGTATGGCAGCAACTAGATGGTTAAACCATTTAATTTTTGCACTCTGTAAGCTGAAATTCTTCATAGTGACTGGCATCACTATTTTCAACAGAATTTAAGTACTTCACTGCGTTTCTTTATTAATGATACATATTAATTTTTGAAATACTTAGAACCGCAGACCTCGAGTATCATTGGCTCTATAGCAAAGGGTAATCTAGTCTAAATATAACGGACTATATGCTATAATATGTATGGTCACGCAATGTTAAGATCCTAATAAATAAAACTCCTGTTATCCAGATTCAACAAATAAAATGAAACCTAACTAAAGAAGACAAAAAAAAACAAAATATCTTATAAGAAACAGAACATCACTAAAAACAAAACTCAAACGTTACAGGAGGGAATTTGCTATAAGACTGAAACTTAAACTGAAAAATCAGATGGAGCCCGAAAGCCTTACGTTCAGTAGCAATCATCCCAACTTTTATTTCTTGTAGGACGAAATGTGATGGGAGGAAAAGTTAGTAATAAATTCTCTCATTCCCCTCGCTACTTAAATAAAAATTTTTTTTTATCAGAATATTTTATACATGGAATCACGTGACTTCTATTGCAATTAACGATCTATTCATTGCTGTTCCTCACTTCTTCGCTTTTTGCCACTTGCTAACTTCCTCTCTTTTCTGTTCTAATCGTTCCAAGAGTCTTTGCAAGTATTGCTCTCTATTCTCAGGAGATGTCATCCGCATTGTCCTCGCAGATGGACTCTCTTTCTTTGGTCTTTTATCACCTGTCTCTTTCTTATCTGTCAGGCGATTCTCGTTCTTGAGCCATTTTGTGAAATCTTCATTTAGCGTGGCGTATTCACTCAAAATATTACTTTGTTCTGCCAAATTGATGATTTTGCGACCCAACCACAAGAAATTATTCATTTTCATCGCCCAATTCTTCATTGCTTCGTTATCTTTAGCTCCTTCTTTATGTATGCTCATATCTGCCTACGTTAAAAACTATTCTATTTAAACTTTGTAATATTTTATTTATATGTTTTTAATGTTCATAATAAATCTAATATTAATGATATTATTAAAAATATGTGATATATTCATGTGATTACCAAAAATACTCTGTAACATTTTTATTGCAAACTTTTTACATTAATGGTGGTGTTTCATTTTTTTAGATTTTTAATTCTTTCATTAATATACTTATTAGAATTTATAGTGTAAATGTAAGGTAACATATTTAGAATTTAGATAATTAAATTAGATTAAATACTAAAAAGTCCATTCACATAACATTCATATACATTGCCTTTAATAAACCTATTACATGACAAGTCAATTAAAAGGACTATGTGAAATAATTTTTTTTCCTCCAAGATGTTATTATAGCAATGTGCTATTGTAATAAAATTGATAGAAATTCTTTCAAAAACAAGTAATTACTATAGCCATTTTATTAAGCAAGATTATAAAGATAATAAATTAAACCTGTCAAACATGGCTTATATTTATATAAAAATTATAGAATTATATATGATAAACTATTTTTTTTTTAGAAATTTTATGACAATGCTAAACAATACCATACAATTATTATATATAGTAGAAATTAAGATTTGTTGATTACTATTTTGTGTTATCAAAATTTGTGAGTGGATATTATAACAAAAATAAAGGTATATTTCTGCTCCCTTAATTTCACATTCTCAATACAACTTTTCTTGTCATTTTAAACTCTTGCTTTCTTAAATAAGTTTTATTATGGACATATAAGGAACAGTTTTTTTCCTGCACCAATATTGTTTTGATTTAAAAGTATGCTACTTATTATATTGACTTACTTTGGCAACAATTATAATACTATAGAATTATATATATATAGTATAAATAAGAAATTTTTTGTTATTGTCAATTTCTTCTATATAGGCTAGAAATTTTTATATTCAAAATTTTTATATAGTCAATTGACATTCTTTACATGGAAATTTAGAGAATTTTGAAAATTCTGAATTTATTAATTTTATTTTATCATCAAAATATAATTAATTACTTTTAAAATTTTAGCTCTTAAATGATAATTTCTAAACTTACAATTGACAAGAGTCTATACTCTACATTTATAATGATAATTTATAATTATATAAAATTTAATTTTCATCTATAAACTATAAAAGCTGTAGACAGTTTTGAATAAATTTAAATTTATAAAAATTATATATGTTTATATTAGAATAAGAGATTTAAATATTTGAATTTATCTTTAATTTTTACTTTTGTAGTGTAATTAAGTTATGTCGTTTACTTAATGTAATTGTTGCAGTATCTTGAGATCAGGGAATCTTTGGATTGCAGCTTAAACGATTATCAATTTCAATTGCTATTTGACCACATACTTTATATATGTCACTTGGTATTTAAACAATCTCAAGTCAAGATAGTGCATTCTATCTGGGATTATCGCTAAAAAATATATATCCAGTGTAGCTGATCTAGTAAATTTACCAAGCCTTACAAAATTTCTAGTTATAATGGTTCAATTTAAGTCACAGGTACATAAATCGCTATTTATCCTAATAATATAAAGTAATCCATAACAGATAACCTTGAATATCATACATAGGGACTAATAATAAACTTATTTATTATTTGATAATATATAGTGTGGATCTTGCCTTCAAGCATATGATATCAAATTATATTGCTATATCTTTAGTATTTTTATACAATTAAATGTTCCTTTCATTCTTTGTGGATTTCAAAATCATCTTTCAAAACTCTTTTAAAGTTGTATATGCTTGCTTTTCTTACTTCTATTTATTTTCAAATATATTTTTCCCAATTTATTAAGCTCTTGTAAAATTTTTCTCTTAATAGTTTTGCAATCTGCCTTGCTAGTGTTATAATACCAAAATATGAGAGAAATTGCTTTTTTACCAATTATTTAGCACTTGCAGATATTATATATTTTTATAATTATAATATGTAAAAACACTATAAATCGATAATGGTAATTACAATTTTATTATTAGTGAATATTCATAAATATTTTAATTGGATATTTTACTAGTTCAGCTAATAAATTTTCATCTTTTATATTTTGAATTAAATTAATAAATCATATTACTATTATTTTTTTTTTTGGATAATAAATCACTTCTTCCTAAACTAAGATATACAATATTATTTAATCAATGCTCAAAAGTTTTGCTTATTTAGTATTCTTATATATTGTATATATAGTTTTATTTGTTTTTAATTTAAATATAAGTATAACATTTAAAATATATAATGGTTATTTAAATGAACTCCCAAAAAAGTTTATGATCCTTTATTGAAACCTTTTGACAAACAAAACAAAAAAATATAAAAATACAGTTATAATTTAATAAAAAGAAAAACTCAAAATTTCTAAAACTATATATTTTCTTTCATTAAAAATCTGAGTGCTATAGTGTTCTAGAATATATATTCATATATTTTGTTAAATACTATACCTATTTCATTTCAATGAATCAATATATCTAAACTGTTGCTAGATTTTTTAATTCATTTTTTTCTTGGTTCAATTCTAATTTCAATTCATTCAAATTCTTTCTCAATGAATTTATATCTTCTTCCATCATATTAGAATTTAATTGAATTCTGGTTCCTTCCTGAGAATTAGTAGCAAATTTAAAAATTTTGTATTTATCAAGATTGAAAAAATTCAACTTAAGAATATTCTCAATCATGAGGCTAACTTCCAGCTCTTTATTTTCCTGAACAACATTCTTTAAAAAATAATAATCTTTGTTCAGCTCTAATAATCCATCATTATATTTTACAAGAATACTTTGAAATTCTTTAGTATATTTGTCAGTCAATTTAGAGGTTTTTAAATCTCTGATAGAACTAATAGTATTTCTTTCCTTATTAATGGAGCTTTCTAGATGATTACAACAATTTTGTAGTTTTTTAATAGCTTCTTCTCGTAAGGTTAGGAAATCACCCTTAACTTTCAGAAAATTGTTGACTTGACTGATAATCAGTTTTTTTCTATTGGCATCATAAGAATCTGAGGTTCTTGATAATTCTTGCTGGAGTTCATTCATCTCTTTTTGTTTAGCTTCTTTTTCTTTATGAATTTCCTTAGTATTTTCTCCACTAGTTAATTTATTTAATAATTCCTTCTCAATTTTATTCAATTCTTTTACTTTGTCTTTTAGCTGCTTAATACGTTCTTGATCAAGAGTAACAAGTTTCTTTTCTAATTCATTTATTTTATCATCTTTTATCTGTAAAGCTTGAGTTAATTGCATTTTGATTTGTTCTTCAATAATCAATTTTTGTTCCAATTGAGCAATTTCTTTTTCCAACTTGGTTTTCAATTTAGTTGTAAGCTTTTGTTCTTGTGAAAGACCTTTTACCATATTGTGCAACCTGATCTTTTCTTGTTCTATCTGTTCACAATTAACTTGGGACTGACTTAGTTTATTTTCTAATTGCTCTTTTTGTTCAGTTAAGCTTTCTTGCTGAGATTTTAATTCTTGAATATTAACTTCTGTTTGAATTAATTTTTCTTGTAAATCAAATTTTTCTTGCTTTAACTGACTAACTTGAACTTGAATTTGCTGGTTAGTCTGTTTATTTTGTTCCAATTGTTTAGTTAAATTATCAATTAAGAATTGCATTTCATTTTGCAGGTCAATGATTTGGGTTTGTAAAACATTTTCTTTTTCTGCAAATTTTTTAATTTGTATAGCTAAATTAAGCCTCAAATTTTGATTATTTTGTTCAAATTTAAAATTCTTTTGTTGTAAATCAACTAATTCATTTTCTAACTTAAAATTTTCTTCCTCTATTTGAATTAATTGATTTTTAAATTGATCTTGCTGAGATTTTAATTCTTGAATAATGGCTTCTGTTTGGACTAATTTATCTTGCAAATTATTTTTTTCTTGATTTAACTGACTGTTTTGTTTTAACTGTTCAGTCAGCTTACCATCTAAAGCTTGCTTTTCACTTTGCAAGTTTTTAATTTGGATTTGTAAAGTGTTTTCTTTTTTTGCAAATTCTTCATTTTGTAAAGTTGAGTTTTGTTGTAAATTAACTAATTCCATTTGAATATTATAAGAACTTTGATAATTTTGTTTTGATTCAAAAAATCCTTGAGTGCCTTCTAGAATTTCATTTAGTTCTTTACTAGTAAAATCAAATAAATGACTTGTTGAGTATGCTTTTGGATGAGATTTTACAATAAGGTTATTATGCTCAATTGGTGCATTTATAAATTCCATAATATTGTTTATTAATTCTTCATTAATAATATCTTTAATTTTCTTATTCTCAGGACGAAAAATCCAATTTTTAATAATTTTTAAAACTTCTTTAGAAGATGGCCTTTTTAATGGATCTTCATCCCAGCATTTTGTCATTAAATCTATATAGCATAGTGGAGTATTTTCAATAATTTCAGGACGTTTGCCTTTACAAATACTTAAAGCAAGTTGAAGATCATGTGCTTTATCATTAAATGGTGGAATTTCAGATGTAAATTCCCACATAATTATAGAAAAACTATATATATCACTAGCTTGAGTATAAGGTTGACCTCTTAAAATTTCAGGTGCTATAAATGGTAAAACTCCATAAATATTATTTTCTTTTAAAATAGATTTTGCAAGTTGATATAATCCTAAATAATCACTAATAAGAATTCCATATATATTTCCTGTATATTCGTTACATAAAATATTACCATTATGAAAGTTATAATGAATAAGATCTTTTTCATGAATATAATTAAGACCCTTAATAATTTGATATAAACAAAATAATTTTTGTTTCCAATTTTTTGTTATTTCTGTTAAACATCTTTTTAAACTGCCTTTATTTGTATACTCCATTACTAATACATAATCCAAAGTATCTGGATCTTTTGTAAATCCATATATTTCAATAATTTCATTTGAATTAATAATTTTCCGCTATAAAGAAATAATATTTAGTTAATTAGTATAACAAATTATAAATATTAAAAAAGAATTATATTTAATCATACTTCATTTAGTAATTCATTTAAACCTTCATCTGAATTATTAAGATAATCAAAATATTTAAGAATTACTTCAATAATATCATATTTAGCTTTATATATAGTACCAAATTCTCCTTTATCAAAATATTCAATATTTTCAAATTTATCATAAGGAATCCATTTTAATTTATTTTTAAAAATAAATTGATCCATAATTTCACTTCCACTAGTACCAAATCTTTAAATATAAAAATAAATTTATATTAAAAATTAAGGTTTAAAATAAAATTTACGATTAAAAATTTAAATATTAAACAATAATAATTATACTTACTCTAAATAAAATTATAAGATTTTAATATAATAAATATTTAATTAATTTAAATTTTAAATAAATAGTACCGTATACTTCCGAAATTGAGCACCCTTTTTTTGACCGTAATGCTGGCAAGCAACAGCATAACGTAGGCCAAAAATTTCATAATTCTGGCCAGGTGCTTATTTTCGGGGGTGCTTAATATCGGAAGTATACGGTATATAATAACTTATGACTTACCAACTAAATAAATTACCAAAATTTTTAAAAAGATTGTATAATAAATTAAATATAAAAAATATAGATATTAAATTTTCTAACTATCACCGGGGTGATGATCACTGGTGACTGAAATTATGACGATCGACCAGCATTAAAAAATATAGTGCCGGTAAAAATTGATAATTCTGGCCAACGGTGATGATTATCCCCGGATAAATATAATAAATTACATACAATCTAAAATATTTGAATGATTTTTTAAATAAAGGACTTAGTTAGTTTAAATTATATGTAGACATTACTATATAAATATAATAAATAACTTACGATTTAAAATATTTTAAATAAGAATTTAGTTAGTTTAAATTGTATGTAAATATTTATAAATATAATAATTTACTTACGATCTAAAATATTGAATAATTTTTAAATAGAATTCAGTTAGTTTAAATTATATGTAGTTATTATATAAATATAATAGATTTAAATAAATAACTCATGACTTACCAACTAAAGGAAATTACAAAATAATTTTTTAAATAAAGAATTTAGTTAGTTTAAATTATATGTAAATATTATATAAATATAATAAATTACTTACAATCTAAAATATTTGAATAATTTTTAAATAAAGAATTTAGTTAGTTTAAATTATATGTAAACATTATATAAATATAATAGAATTAAATAAATAACTTATATCTTACCAACTAATTACAAAATAATTTTTTAAATAAGGAATTTAGTTAGTTTAAATTATATGTAAATATTATATAAATAATAAATTACTTACAATCTAAAATATTTGAATAATTTTTTAAATAAGGAATTTAATTAGTTTAAATTATATGTAAATTTTATATAAATGTAATAAATTACTTACAATCTAAAATATTTGAATAATTTTTAAATAAAGAATTAGTTAGTTTAAATTATATGTAAACATTATATAAATATAATAAATCACTTACAGTCTAAAATATTTGAATAATTTTTTAAATAAAGAATTTAGTTAGTTTAAATTATATTTAAATATTATATAAATATAATAAATTACTTACAATCTAAAATATTGTAATGAATTTTTAAATTATATGTAAATATTATAATAATTATATAAATATATTAATAGAATTAAATAAATAACATACTCCCTATATTATTAAATAAATAATTTTTTAAATAAAAGAATTTAGTTAGTTTATATTATATGTAAATATTATATAAATATAATAGAATTAAAAACGACATACTGCCTATATTATTAAATAAATAATTTTTTAAATAAAGAATTTAGTTAGTTTAAATTATATGTAAACATAATACAAATATAATAGAATTAAATAAATAACATACTGCCTATATTATTAAATAAATAATTTTTTAAATAAAGAATTTAGTTAGTTTAAATTATATGTAAATATTATATAGATATAATAGAATTAAATAAATAACTTATATCTTACCAACTAAAGAAATTACAAAATAATTTTTTAAATAAAGAATTTAGTTAGTCTAAATTATATTTAAATATTATATAAATATAATAATAAATTACTTACAATATAAAACATTTGAATAATATTTTAAATAAAAAATTTAATCAGTTTAAATTATATGTAAATATTATATAAATATACTAATAAATTACTTACAAGCTAATATATTTGAATAATTTTTTAAATAAAGAATTTAATTAGTAGTTTAAATTATGTGAAGCTATTATATAAATATAATAAATTACTTACAATCTAAAATATTTAATTTTATATATAGAATTTAGTTAGTTTAAATTATATGTAATATTATATAAATATAATAAATTACCTACAATCTAAAATATTTGATATAGAATTTAGTTAGTTTAAATTATATGTTATGTAAATATTATAAATATGATAATAAATCACTTACGATCTAAAATATTTGAATAATTTTTAAATAAAGAATTTAGTTAGTTTAAATTATATGTAAATATTATATAAATATAATAGAATTAAATAAATGACATACTAGCTATATTATTAAATAAATAATTTTTTAAATAAAGAATTTGGTTAGTTTAAAATATATGTATACATTATATAAATATAATAGAATTAAATAAATAACTTATAACTTACTAACTAAAAGAAATTACAAAATAATTTAAATAAAGAATTTAGTTAGTTTAAATTATATGTAAATATTATATAATATAATAAATTACTTACGATCTAAAATATTTGAATATTTTTTTAAGTTAAGAATTTGTTAGTTTAAATTTACGTAAATATTATATAAATATAAAAATAACATACTCGCTATATTATTAAATAAATAATTTTTTAGATAAAGAATTTAGTTAGTTTAAATTATACGTAAACATCATATAAATATAATAGAATTAAATAAATAACTTATAACTTACCAACTAAAAGAAATATAAAATAATTTTTTAAATAAAGAATTTAGTTAAATTATATGTATAAATATAATAGATTAAATAAATAACTTACACCCTGTAGCATTATTAATTAATAATAATTATAAAGTAAAGTAATTATAATCAATTAGAAAAAATATTATAATTATTAAGTATATACAGTAACTTACAATCTAATTATTTAAATAAATAATATTATTAATTTAAATTATATTTAATACTTTTAAATTAATATAAAATTAAATACTTACTTTCTATAATATTAATAATTATTAAACAATTATATTAATAGAAAATTTAGTTATTTAAAATATCATGTAAAATACAATAAAAAAAATAGCTAATAACTACCAACTATAATAATATTAGTAATATTAAAATAAATTATTTGGTTATATAAAATAAAAGAAGTAATTTAATTATCATTCCGATTATAGGATAACCTATTACTTACGAGCTAATATAGTAAAATAATTTTTAGAAATAGTTTAAAAAATTTAAATTATATTTTTATAATTTACAAGCTGTTAATAATTTTCTTACCTTTATCTTTCTCAATTTTTGAAACTAGTTTCATTATATTACAAATTTGGTTTGAAAAAAATTTTAGAGCAATTTCAATTTGTATTAGATATCTATATTCATATTATATGCTTTTACCTTTATCATTACTTTGAGCCATTACTAAATAATTTTATTGAAATTCTTTTTAAAAAAAAAATAGGGTAAATACATTTAAACGCCCTTTATTCGAATATATATAGAAGTTTGTGTAATATTATTTATGCAAAATGAAGATACCAATTTTCATTTTCATCACTAAATTATAAAAATACAACTTTCTTGTTGATCATGAGTTAAACCTTTAAAACTAATACATTTTATTTATACATTTTGATATATTTTATTACATACTTATATTATGTTCATATTAGCTTAACTTTACAACAAGAATATATCATCCGAATATCAACAGTAAGGGAATTATGAGCCTGAATATTCTAGAACCAAACAATGTTTACTATTTCAAAATGTAAATTTGCTACAACATTGTTGCAATTCTTTTATAAATAACTTAATAACCTTTTATTATTCAAGTGCTAGAGTCAATTTATTCATTGTTAGAACTGGGTACTATATTTACTACATTTATTTTATTTATCTTCCCGCTTATTATTATTTATAGCATTTCAATTATTAAAATCATATTTCTTTTATTAATATTAGACGCACCATTACATGGAATTGCTCGTGTGTATAAAATAATCGTAACATTTATATTTTCTTTATCAGCAAAAAATAATTAAAATTCTCTTTCTTTAAATTTAGCCATTCATTTACAAACAATAATAGGTTTATCAAGAACCTTACAGCCTGGACCATTTTTATGGTGATGTTCACGAGTAGTGTGAACTATTTTTGGTGAAACCTAAGTGAGATTTTGTATTTAGTTATATTTCTTTATTTATTATGTATTATACAATTATAATTTATCATACCTGTAGATTTTTCATGATAAAATTTGAATTTTTCCATTTGAACCATTAGGATTGGCATCAAGACTTTCACATAATGAATACCAAAAATCATTTGCAGTGTCTTTTAATTTTCAAATTCATCATTTCTAATTGTTGAATTTAGCGTAGTATTCAAAAATCCATTTGAAAACAAATCACTATCACCTTTAGGATCCTTAGCACGATTCCAAAATTCCATCTATGGGATATTTTTTAATTAGATAGTGAATAAATAATGTAATATTTTTTATAATAATACTTATATCAGATACGTCCCTTTCAAATGGAGTAATATTTTTAAATCCAATTGCTTCAAGTATTACTCTCCATGCCCAAAGTTCATGAATGTTAATTCATGATCATCATTATAAACATCATGAATAAAGCTTTTTATTTCAATAATAGTACTTTTTTGATTATACGAACAACTTAAAGTATGATACCAAAGTTAATCATTTCTGGGTACATGCTTTTTTAGGTATAATTTGAACATGTATTGCATGATTCTTTCATTATTCCAATCATCAAGGGTGCAGGTCTTAGAAATAGTCTTTCATAACATTCTTTAAATTTAAATCGCACAAGTGGATGATTAATTCCAAAAAGATTGATCCATTACAATTCTGCAATAATTGGGTTTGATTCCAAACTGAAGAAGCTGTTACGTCTTGAAATTGGTTTACTATTTAACCATCTTGAAAAATACTAATTGAAAATAATCCTTCCTTGATCTTCTGTCATATTACACTTTGTTTTTGTTTATATTAATACATAAAACTAGTTGCAAACCCTTCGTAATATTATTATCTGGAATAGATGATATAATAATTGTAATATTATATAAACAAATTGTAAAAGGATGGAAATCCACATTATTGAGCATTTGTTGAATCATGTAAGAATCATGAAAACCTAACATTGTTGCTCCCAGATATTTTGTTTTATTTTTATTACCAAATACACATCCATAAATGGTGTAAATAGCAGCAGAAGAACTAGATAAAACTCCACTATTAATTCCTTCCCTTCACAAATAAACCTGGTGTATTTGGATTTTCCAAGTTGCAAACTATTCTAATAATGAAGTGTTATTGATTGAGTTTAAAGCAACTTGAAAGCCAAGTCTTATTGGAATAGCATGGGTATTAGAATCTTGAATTTGGGAATCAGAATAATACCACCAATCTTGTGAAAAAAGACCATAATGAGGTTCTGCCACCAGGTTACCAATAGCAACAAGTTTTCCGGGAGTAAAGTGTCCTTTTGACATTTTTGAAAATTGAGAACGTGAGATTCAGAACGTTTTCATTTTAATTATAAATCATAGCCCCGCAATTGTTACACAATATTTCTACCCATCACATGAGGATCAGCAAATAATTGCGTAAGTGGAATTAAATTTGCGATTTAATGCTTTATGAGTTAGTTTGTGGAACGTATGATCCCTGTTGCACATTAAGTTACTATACGGAGGTAATTTAACCGATCAATTTTGTTCAAAAAAAAAGCTCGGAAGTTTGAACAAATTTTTTCCTCACCCTTTCCTTTCAAGATTATAATGGCTGATAATAAATTTTTACCGAAATTATCACAAAATTTACTTGAAATTTTAAATGATGAAGAATTTTATGATATTACAATTGAAGTTGGCAGTGACCCTTATGTTAAAGTATTTCGTGCCCATATAGTTATTTTAAATTATCGTTCTCCTTATTTGCGTAGAATTTTATCAACTAATAAAAAGAAAAATGATGGAATTTTGACAAATATTAAATTACCAAATATTTCACCTGAATTTTTTCATGTATTATTAAGGTACAAGAGTTTTATATTTTATTCTTTTTTTTTTTATTTTTTTTATTTATATATTTTTAATTACAAACAACTAATTCTTTTTCAGATATATTTATGGTGGAAAACTTTCTTTGGAAGAATATGATATTTCAGATATCATTAAAATCTTGGTTATTGCTATCGAACTTAACCTTCAAGAGTTAATTCCTTATATAGAATCTTTTTTAATTAAAAACAGAACAAACTGGTTGGAACAAAATTTTGAATTAATATATCAGACAAGTTTTGAAAACGATTCTTTCTTAGAACTTCAAAAATATTGTACTGATTTAATTTATAAAGAACCAGAAAAGAGATTTAATTCTCCAAATTTTTCTACAATTCCGGAAAGACTTCTAATCACGCTTATCCAAAATGATAATCTTCAAATGAAAGAAATTCAAGTATGGGAATATGTAATTAAATGGGGACTCGCTCAAAATCCAGGACTTCCTTCTGATCCTACAAATTTTTCAAAGGATGATTTCAATACTTTAAAAAACACCTTACAACAATGTATTCCTTTCATTAGATTTCATAATTTAAATTCAATAGAATTTTCAAAGAAGGTATTGCCTTATAAAAAAATTTTATCAAAGGAATCATATAAAGAATTATTAAATCATTTTTTGGAAAACGACATCAAGGAATCATTACCTCGTATATCTGTTCCAAAACAAAAATCTACATTAGATATTGCTAGGGTTACAAACAGTGATAAAGAGTCACAAAAATATGTATCATTGGCATCAGGTACATCTACGAGACGATTAATGGGACATGATAATAATAAGCAAAATGTTTCAACTAACAAGATTAAAAATATTGATTCTAAGATAATTACACCTCAACATGCTGGAATAATTTCAAAATGGATTGATAGACTAGAAATTACAGACAAGCCGACTACTTCCTATGAATTCAAATTATTATATCGTGATTCTCGTGATGGATCTAGTGGGGCGTTTAACAGGTTTAAAAAGTTCCATGAAATTTGTGTAGATCAACCTCATACTGTAACATTAGTTAAAGCTGAAGGTAATAACGAAATTCTTGGAGGATATAATCCTATTGAATGGAAATTTGATGGTAATTATGGTGTTACTAAGGATAGTTTTATATTCTCATTTAATAATGGTGATATTGAAGATTACATTTTAAGTCGCGTAAAGAATGAAAAGAAAGCTATAAGTAAGATCGATAGATATAGTATAGGTCCATCATTTGGTGATGGCGACCTGAGTTTATACCAAGTTTATACTTATTTAGGAATCAATTGTAAACTTAGAACTTATGAAAAACTGATCAGCAAAGCCGATTATTCAGGCTTTTTAGAAATTGAAATATTTAAAATTGAGTAAAATGGTCTGTTGATTTTGTAATAAATATCGAATATTTTATTAATAAAAAAAAAAGTTATATTTCAATATCTTGATATAAAAAAAAATCTGTATATTTATCCTGATAAAAAAAAATTATATAATTATTTTTTATATATGGAGCAATTGTATTTACGTAGTACACGTCAAATGCATGTATCAATTGCGTAAGTGGAAGAATATAAAGCATTAAATCAATCTAAAGGCTAACCGGTTTATTTAAATGATCGGAAATTGTACTGGCTCAACTATCAAGTCGTAAGGATAAATTTAATTACTTAAACGCTAAGTTTGTTTGTGGAACTGATCTTTGTTACACATCTGATCTGCATTTACGGAGGTAATTTTAACCGGTGGTGTCGTGGTGAACCTTTCAAGATTATAATGGTTGATAATAAACTTTTGCCGAAATTATCAAAATTTACTTGAAATTTTAGATGATGAAGAATATTATGATATTACAATTGAAGTTGGTAGTGACCCTTATGTGAAAGTATTTCGTGCCCATATGGTTATTTTAAATTATCGATCTCCTTATTTGCGTAGAATTTTATCAACTAATAAAAGACAAATGTTTGAATTTTAACACATTAATTACCAAATATTTCACCCGATTTTTTTCACATATTATTAAGGTACAAAGTGATTTTTTTTTTCAGATATATTTATGAGGAAGACTTTCTTTGGAAGAATATGATATTTCAGATATCATTTAAAATCTTGGTTATTACTAATGAACCTAGCTAATTGAAAAACAAAAAAAAACTGGATGGAACAAAATTTTGAATTAGTATATCAGATAAGCTTTAGAAACGATTCTTTCCCAGAACTTTAAAAATATTGTACTGATTTCATTTCTAAAGAGCCAGAAAAGATATTTAATTCTCCAAATTTTTCTACAATTCCAGAAAGACTTTTATTCACGCTTATCCAAGATGATAATTTTCAAATGAAAGAAATTGAAGTATAGGAACACGTAATTAAATGAGGACTCGCTCAAAATCCAGAACTTTCTTCTGATCCTACAAGCTTAGTTTTTAAGAGATGATTTTAATGTTTTAAAGAATACTTTACATCATTGTATACCTTTTATTAGATTTCGTAATTTAACTTCAAGGGAATTTTTGAATAAAGTAAATCTTATAAAAAAATCTTACCAAAGGAATTATATAATGATTTACTAAATTATTTTTTGAATAATGACAGCAAGGAATCATTACCCTATATATATATATCTATTTCAAAACAAAAATCTGCATTAGATATTGCAAATAGTGATAGCGAGTCACAAGAATATATATATCATTTGCATCAGGTATTATATGATAATAATTTATTGGATAAGCAAAAGATTTCAACTAACAAGATTAAATAACATTTTAAGATAATTGCATCTCAACATGTTGAAATAATTTCAAAATGGATTGATAGATTAGAAATTACGGTACAGATAAACGACTACTTCGTGATTCTCGTGATGAGAGGTTTAACAGGTTTAAAAAGTTCCATGAAATTTATATAGGTCAACCTCATACTGTAACATTGGTTAAAGTTGAAGATAGTAACGCAATTATGGTATTACTAAGGATAATTTTACATTCTCATTTGATAGTAAATATATTGAAAATTACATTTTAAGTCGCGTAAAGAATGAAAAGGAATCTAAGGAATCTATAAGTAAGAACGTTGGATATAGTAAGGGTCCATCATTTGGTAATGGTGACCTACGATTATACCAAATTTTTGGTGAAAATACAACTTATACAACTTATAAAAAACAGATCAGTAAAATTGGTTATCCAAACTCTTTAGAACTTGAAATATTTAAAATTGGTATCGATAATAAATATGGCCAAATCGGTTTAAGACTAACCATAATAATGTATTTCAAATTATGTAAAATTTTGAAAAAAATATTTTACTAGAAATTTGTGTTTTATTATTTTTGTTGATTTATAATAAATTATATAATCATATCCATTTTTTAATATTTAAAATTATTTTATAAGATACGAGTAAGATACGTGTTGATTTTCTATTTCCTATGTTAACTAATAATAATATTACGATTAACTTTTTCCCAGAATAAGCAAAAAAAATAAGAATGGTGCGTTGTGGCAGAAAATATCCTAACTCTAATCTAACTTCATCGCTTACTATCATTATATAATAGTAAAGTAAAGTTAGTATAATAATTCCATCAAAAGTATCATTATTTATGGGGTTATAACTTATAAGAACAATAATTAACAGGAAATGTTATAGCGTTCTTTATATGGCGTAAAGACTACGAAGGCATATATTGGATGTTCCATATCCCATAAATGAATAGATCGAGAAATTAAATAAACAAAGTAAACAAATTCAATATGAAGTCTTCACATGTCATTTATATGTTTAAGCGAAATTTATACTAAAATTTAAGTATCCATCTTTTAGAAAGCTTAGAAAGCCTTTGTGTATAATATTTTTATGCAAATTTCAACAGAACTAATAATTATATGCCCATTTTTATGAGTGATACCTATTTTAAATAATGCTCTTATCCGAATATTATAAAGAGGAATCTCATTTGGGAGCCGGGAGCCTCAAAGTTACATGATTGTTGATCGATAAAAAAATTTTTTGAATACCTCGACTCGTCGACCTCGGTTCTGTTTTTAAAAATGGTTAAAATGTTCCTAAGCTTAGTTAAACTCGGGATATTCTAAATTTAGAGATTGTTAATTACAATAAATAGTTATTGAATGGGGAAAGAGATATCGGTCGAAGACCAATATCCCCCAATCTAATAACTGTAAGAATACTGCGGTGACCAATAGGAATTAATGTTACTTATAATAACGTTTTCAATATTGGATGTCTCATAAAAATATCGGCTTTCATTTCGCTAAAATGTTTTTTTTACGGTATTATAAAAAATAAAATTTATGCGTGAAATACTCGTGAAATCGTGAAATATGGATTAGATTGATTATTTAATTTATCTGTTATTTAGTTAAATGTTTTTATACATTAACACTTTATATTTAAAATTATTTTAATTATTTTATAAAATTGTTTGAAAGAATTTATATTTTTTTTATGACCCTAAATAATATATTATTATACCAAAATTAGGTTACAATAAATAAGTATAGTACAGTAAATTATTAAATTCATATACAGTATAACCACCATACGTCCTCGTAAGGTCATTCTATCATTCATTACGTAAAGATGTGGCGAGGATTATACCTCTCATATAAAATAAAAATTGTGTGATGAGGTACAGTATATTTTTACACAGTCGTAACTGTAACCGCAGTAATGTTATGCAAATTCTGCGGTAGATTATGTCTTTGATTTCGTTCAAAGTTTAAAACTTTCTTGTACTGCATAATATATTACCTTAAATTCTTTTATTAAACGTCTTTATTAATTTATAAGATCCCAACAATATATAATACAATCGGTACATATACGGTTTTCAATTTTATAATTGTATTTTATTTTTATTTCGCTGGTAATAGTGTAACACCCATCCCTCCTTTTTTATACCTCTTTTGGATATTATTTCGGATATTATTATTTTACATATTTCCATTAAAATGATGTGTATTTTAATATAAAGTGCGTAGCACAAATAAATAGAGAATGCCGTGCCGAAGCCCTTACAATAAAATTATTGGTACCACAAGTTACACATCCAAGTTTTTGTCAATCCAAATAATAACTGCGTGACTGCGTCCCCTCAGCTTTTTTTTTAAACAAAAAAGGATTTTTTTTTTAACAAAGAAAAAGAAATTTTTTTTTTTATTTTTACTTATTTATTTACTACTCTATTTTGAGCGATTAGTAATTAGATTGTGTTTACTTTAACGTTAACCACAACTATCTTTCGTATAATAAAAAAAAAATTTTTTTTTTTTTTTAATATTGTTCTACTTATTAATTTATTTATTTATTTATTTTCAAAAAAAAATAGAAACCCAAAAAAAAAATGACGTCAAATATTTCAAATGATGATGAAAATTTTTTAAAAGAATTTTTAAAAGAATTTTATCGTCAAATCATAAACATAGAAAATTATAAAAATTTTAAAAATACTTTAACGGAATGGATCCAAGATTATTTTAATTATAATGAAAAAGATACAAGGATTTTTTTAAAAATAATGAAAGAACATGAAGAGAATGAAAATTGGTTTTCAAGTTTAATAGGATTTTTTTATGAAAATGGTATAGGTTATGATGATGATGATAATGATAATGATGATATTTTAATATATTATTTAAAATCAATTAAAAATTATGAAAATGATGAAAATAAAAAATTAAAATCTACTTATCAATTACTTAATATTATTATTTCAAAATATTTATTATCATTTTATTATTATAAAGATATTATTTTAGATAAAAAAATTATGATTTCAAAAGAATTTAAAATTTTAGAAAATGTTCATCATGTTATGTCATATAATCAATTTGAAAATTTTAATGGATTAAAAATTAATATATGTAAAGATGAATTAATTAATATGGAAAAATATTTTGAATCTCAAGATAATAAAGATGATTTTAATGAAAATCAATTATTATTAGAAAAGAATGAATTAATAGAATTAAATAATTTAGGTTATTGTTATCAACATGGTGTAGGAAAAAAGAAAGATGAATTTAAAGCATTTGAATTTTATTTAAAATCTGCAAAAGGTGGAAATTCTAATGCACAAAATAATTTAGGTTATTGTTATCAAAATGGTATTGGAATAATTAAAGATGAAAAAAAAGCTTTTGAATGGTATTTAAAAGCTGCTAATGAAGGTGATTTACATGCTCAATATAATTTAGGTATTTGTTATCAAAATGGAATAGGAATAAATCAAGATTATAAAAATGCTTTTAAATGGTATTTAAAATCTTCTGAAAATGAATATCCTCTTGCACAATATATATTGGGTAATTGTTATTTAAATGAAATTGGAATAGAAAAAGATTTTGATAAAGTTATTTATTGGTATAGTAAAGCAGCTGAAAATGGAAATAAATCTGCACAATATAATTTAGGTAATTATTATAAAAGTGGTGAATTTGTAAAAAAAGATGAAAAAAGAGCATTTGAATATTATAAAAAATCTGCTAATCAAGAATTTTTAAATGCTCAATTTGAACTTGCTTATTGTTACGATTTTGGAATTGGAACTGAAATTAATAAATTAAAAGCATTTGAATTTTATGAAATTGCTGCTGAAAAAGATCATGTTAATGCTCAATGTAATCTTGGTATTTTATATCAAAATGGTGATATTATAAAAAATTATGAAAGATATAATAAAGCTATTTATTGGTATAATAAAGCAGCAGAGAATGGATGTAAAATAGCACAATATAATTTAGGTAATTATTATCAATTAGGGTTTATAGTTGAAAAAGATGAAGGTAAAGCATTCGAATATTATAAAAAATCTGCTGATCAAGAATATTTAGAAGCTCAATTTGAACTTGGTTATTGTTATATTAATGGAATTGGAACTGAAATTAATAAAATAAAAGCATATGAATTAATTAAAATTACTGCTGAAAAAGAATATAATATTGCATATAATAGTTTAGCGCTTTTATATGAATATGGTGATGGTATAGAAAAAGATTTAAAACAAGCATTTTATTGGTTTAATAAAGCAGCAGAAAATGGTTGTGAAATGTCTCAATATTATTTAGGAAATCATTATAAATTTGGATTAGAAGTTGAAAAAGATGAAGTTAAAGCATTTGAATATTATAAAAAATCTGCTGATNCTTATCAATATCATATTGACATCGGAAAAAATTTTATAGTTTCTGCAAAGAAATTAAAGCATTTGAATATTATAAAAAATCAGCAGATCAAGGTTATTTAAATGCTCAATTTGAACTTGGATATTGTTATGATAGTGGAATTGGTACTGAGACTAATAAAACAAAAGCATTTGAAATTTATAAAATTGCGGCTAAAAAAAATCATACTATTGCACAATATAATCTTGGAATTTTATATAAAAATGGTAAAGGAATAGAAAAAGATTTAGAACAAACTATTTACTGGTATAATAAAGCAGCAGAAAGTGGATATGAAGTAGCAGAATATAGTTTAGGAAATTGTTATAAATCAGGAGTGGGTGTAGATAAAGATGAAATTAAAGCATTTGAATATTATAAAAAATCTGCTGATAAAGATTATTTAAATGCACAACTTGAACTTGGATATTGTTATTCTTTAGGAATTGGAACTGAAGTTAATCTTGCAAAAGCATTTGAATTGTACACTATTGCTGCTGAAAAAGATTCTAGTGTTGGCCAATATAATCTTGCAAATTTATATGTAAATGGTGAAGTAATTGAAAAAGATGAAGTTAAAGCTTTTACATTATATAAAAAATCAGCTGATCAAGGATTTTTAAATGCTCAATGTCAACTTGGTTATTGTTATGAAAAAGGAATTGGTACTGAAGTTGACAAATTTAAGGCGTTTGAATTATATAAAATTGCTGCAGATAAAGGATCATGTATTGCACAAAGTAATCTTGGAATTTTATATGAAAATGGTAAAGGTACTGTAAAAGATAAAATCAAAGCCTTTGAATATTATAATAAATCAGCTGATCAAGGATATTTAAATGCTCAATGTCAACTTGGTTATTGTTATGATAAAGGAATCGGAACTGAAATTAATAAAGCAAAAGCTTTTGAGTTATACAAAATTGCAGCTGATAAGGGAAGTATTAATGCACAAAATAATCTTGGAATCTTATATTTCTGGGGTAATAAAGCTGAAAAAGATTTGGAAAAGGCAGTTTATTGGTTACAAAAAGCAACAGAAAATGGAGATGAAGTTGCATATGATAATTTAGGTATATGTTATGAATTAGGAATAAGTGTAAATAAAAATGAAACTGACGCATTTGAATTATATAAAAAATCAGTTGAAAAGGGATATTTAAACGCGAAACTTAGTCTTGGATATTGTTATATAAAAGGAATTGGGACTGAAATTGATAAAGAAAAAGGATTTGAATTATATGATAAGATAACTGAAAAAGAAAATATAGAATTTCTTAAATCAATTTATGATAATGAAGAAAATATAATAAGTGATTTAAATCTAGTTAATTATTTTTATAAAAAATCCGCAGAAAATGATAATGATTTTGTATTATATGAACTAGGAAATATTTATGAAATAGGTAAAGGTGTTAATAAAAATCTCATTAGAGCATTTGATTATTATAAACAAGCGGCTGATAAAGGATGTGTAAACGGGAAATATAAACTAGGGTATTATTTTCTTCATGGGATTATAGTTGATATTGATAAAGAAAAGGCCTTTATGTTACTTAAAGAATCAGCTGAAGGTGGAAATGACGATGCTAAAAAAATTCTTGCACAATATGAACAAGACGAAGGTATAGAAAAAGAAATCGATTCCTAAAGAATGTGGTTAAAATTGTCAAGCATTATTACTAAATCATATCGCGTACACCATGTGATAGTTTGTTCGATGCACAATGTATTTATTCTATAAATAAAGTAAATTACGGTATATATATACAGTACAATATTACAATAAAGCTCAACAATTTAGAACTGTAATTTAATTCATAAAACTATAACTATTAATAAGAAATTCTATCGCCGACAAGTATAGTCGTAAATTTATCCAGATTCAGTGATAGTTTTTTTCATAAACATTTAACCAATTTTATTTTAAAATTATTACGTGAATTTAATTATTTTTCAATGTTTAGTCATTAAATTACGTAAATAAGAATATATAAATTAAATTTATAAATCAATTTTTTTTTTATTTTTTTTATTTTCATAATTACTTTAGCTACCAAATATTTAAAAAAAATGTTTTTAAAAAAAATAGTATTAATAAAATCTATCAGAGCGTAATAAAAATTCAATAATTTCCCGAATAAGAGAAATTTCTAAAAAGTTAAATATAAAATAATTCTTTAGAATGAATTCTTTACAATTTGAAATACTTCATACTCTTTTACCGAAAATATTCCTTCAGTTTCCCTGATTGCTCTTTCGTAAGAATGTTTACTACAATAACTATTATTATAAAAGTTGTTTCCTCTTAATATAAGATCACCATTACCAAATGATGGACCATAAAAAGTGCTATTAACTATAGCAAACTTTGGATCTTTTACACGACTCAAAATATAATCATTCTTATCCTTAAAAGAGAATATAAAACTATCATTAGTGATGCCGTATGTCGGATTGTTATACCATGAAATTGGATTATACCCTCCAAGAATTTCGTTACTATTTTTCACTTTAATAACTGTTACAGTAAAAGACTGATTATCGCAAATTTCATAGAATTCATCAGGTGTTAGTCCATCACGAGGTCCACGAAATAATAACTTGAATTCATATAACGAATTTGATTTTGAAGTCATAGAAGCAAGAGTTTCCGTATCTGATGCATTAACATCATCCAATTTGTCTATCCATTTCGAAATCAATTCAACATGCTGATCTGAAATAATTGTTGAATCGATACTTTTGGAAGGTTCTGACTTGTTGATCTGATTATAATCATGATCCAAAAAATATTTAATTAAATTTTTATACGACTCTTTAGGTATAACCTTTTTGTAAGGTAACACTTTGCTAGAAAATTCTTTGGGAGTTAGATTACGAAACCTAATAAAAGGAATACAATGTTGTAAAGTTTTCCTTAAAGCAATAAAATCATCCTTTGAATAGTTTGAAGGATCTGAAGAAAGTTCAGGATTCTGGGCAATACCCCATTTAAGCACATGTTCCCAAACCTGAGCCACACTCATACGAATATTATTATTTTGAATAAGCGAAATTAAAGATTTTTCTGGAATTGAAGTAAATTCAGGTGATTTAAAAATTCTTTCCGGTTTTTTAGAAATTAATTCCATACAAAACTTTTGAAGTTCTAAGAAAGAATTGTTTCTAAAGCTCGTTTGGTATATCAAACTAAAATTTTGCATCATCCAATTCACTTTGTGTTTAATCAAAAAGGATTGTAAATGAAGAATTAGTTCTTGAAGACTTAGTTCACTTGCGGCAATCAAAATTTTAATAATGTCTGTAGCATCATAATCTTCTAACGAAAGTATTCCTCCATAAATATATCTAAAAAAAAAAATAAATAAAAATATTTATAAGATCAAAATTAGTCTATAGAAATGAAAACAAAATATTCTATAATATTACCTTAAGATTATTTGGAAAATTTCGGGTAAAATATTTGGTAATTCAATACGTGTCAACGTTCCGTCATTACTTTTATTAGTTGACAAAATTCTTCGCAAATAAGGAGAACGATAATTCAAAATAACCATATGAGCACGAAATATTTTTACGTTAGGATCATTACCAACTTCAATTTTAGTATCATGATATTCTTCATCATCTAAAATTTCGAGTAAATTTTGTGATAATTTTGGTAAAAATTTNTTTGTATGGAAAATTCCTTCTTTGGATAAATGTGACAAGACAAAAGAAGCAAAAAATATTTCTGCAGCATATGACCAAATCCCAATCTATTGTACAAGACAAATGCGAAAAAATGTGATAAATAAGGTTTTTTTCTTTTTTTTTTTTTTTTTTTTTTTTTTTCAGAAAATTCTAAATAGTCGAAAGCCTTTTATATTGAACAGGATGCAGATCGTTACCATAAAAATGCAGGCCGAATCAAACAACACGAAAAACTCGATTTTACAGGCATAATAACTTGACTAAATAAATTTTAAAAATTCTACATAGTAAAGTCATTGGAAATATAAATAGCGTAAGAAACTTTTGTTACTTCGACATGCTCATTAAATGATCGATGGAAATTTATTAAATTTATTAAATTACTGCTGTAGCTCATTAATATTATTTTTATTTAAAAAAATATATAAATAAACAATAAAGAAGTTGCGTTTAAAAATATACTTCAAGCTTTCACAATTCTGAATACTTCATATTTTTCAATAACAGGGTTCGCTCCCGTGATCGGTTCTTCGTAAGAAATTTTTTTACAGTAAATTCCCAGTTTATCCGTATATTCAGAGCAGTATATACGCAAGTCACAATAACCAAATGACGGACCATAATTTCCATTATATAAAGCTTTTGTTTCATCCTTTACGCGGCTTAAAATATGATTTTCAATACTATCAATATTCTTAAACGAAAATATAAAACTATCTTTAGTAACGCTATAACATCCTTCAGATTTCCATTCTATTGGATTATACCCTCCAAGAATTTCGTTACTACCTTTCAATTTAACAATTGTTACAGTACCAGGTTGATTATCACAAAATTTATGGAATCCTTTAGGTGCATCAAATCCACTGCGATATAGTAATTTAAATTCATAATGATTTCTTATCTTGTCCGTAATTTCTAATTTATCAATCCATTTTGATATTAATTCAGCATGTTGAAATGTAATAATTCTAGAATCAATATTTTTTGGATTTATTTCCTTGATCTCTTCAATTATACGAGGTTTTGACTTTTTAATTGGTTTGTAATTATTATCCAAAAAATCTTTTAGTAAATTTTCATATAATTCCTTTGGTAAGATTTTTTTATAAGGTAATATGTTGTTTGAAAATTCTTTGGAAGTTAAGTCATGGAATCTAACAAAAGGAATACATTGTTGTAAAGTATTCTTTAAAGTGTTGAAATCCTCTTTTGAATAGCTTTTTGGATCAGAGGAAAGTTCAGGATTTTGAGCAAGACCCCATTTAATCACATGTTCCCAAATTTGTACTTCGCTCATTTGAAGTTTATCATTTTGAATAATCGTAACCAAAAGTTTTTCTGGAATTGAAGAAAATCTTGGCGAATTAAATATCTTATTCGGTTCTTTGGAAATTAATTCATTACAATATTTTTGAAGTTCTAGGAAGGAATCGTTTTCAAAACTTATTTGATATATCAAATCAAAATTCTGTTCTATCGAGTCTTTTCTGCTTTTTATCAAAAAGGTTTCTAAAAAGGGAGTTAATTCCTGAAGACCAAGTTCGTTGGCGGTAATTAAAATTTTAATAATATCAGAAATATCACATTCTTCAAAAGAAATTTTCCCTCCATAAATATACCTAAAAGTAAATTAAACGATTATAAAATTAAAATTATATTTGTTAAACAATGATAAAATAATGTTCGTTTATCTTACCTCAAAATTATATGAAAAGTTTCAGGTAAAATATTTGGTAATTTAATACTTGTCAAAGTTCCATCATTTTTCTTTTTATTAGTTGACAAAATTCTTCGTAAATAAGGAGAACGATAATTCAAAATAACCATATGAGCTCGAAATACTTTTACGTTAGGGTCATTACCAACTTCAATTGTAATATCATAATATCTGTCTCTTATACACATCTAGATGTGTATAAGAGACAGGTCGAAAGCCTTTTTATATTATTAAATAGGATGCAGATCTTTACCATAAAAATGTAGGTCGAATTTAAAACTCGATTTAATAACTTAATAAATTTAAAAATTCTACTTAGTAAAATCATTGGCAATATAAAAATACTTTTGTTACTTTGACACATTAAATGATTGATGGAAATTTATTAAATTACTTCTGTAGCTCATTAATATTATGGAGAATCAAAGTTTTTATTAAAAGAATATATAAATTTAATAAACAATAAAGAGGTTGCGTTTAAAAATATACTTCAAGCTTTCACAATTCTGAATACTTCATATTTTTCAATAACAGTGTCCGCTCCCGTGATCGGTTTTTCGTAAGAAGCTTTTCGGCAGTACAATTTCAATTTATTCCCGTATATACGCAAGTCCCTAAAACCAAATGATGGTCCATCGTTTCCATTATATATAGCTTTTGCTTCATCCTTTACACGGCTTAAAATATGATTTTCAATACTATCACTATTCTTAAACGAAAATATAAAACTATCTTTAGTAACGCTATAACTTTCTTCATATTTCCATTCTATTGGATTATACCCTCCAAGAATTTCGTTACTACCTTTCAATTTAACAATTGTTACAGTACCGGGTTGATTATCACAAATTTCATGGAATTTTCCTGGAAAATCAAATTCACTACGATATAGTAATTTAAATTCATAAATATTTTTTATCTTGTCCGTAATTTCTAATCTATCAATCCATTTTGATATTAATTCAGTATGTTGAAATGTAATAATTCTGGAATCAATATTCTTTGAATTCGTTTCCTTAGTCTCTTCAATTATACGAGGGTTCGACTTTTTAATTGGTTTGTAGTTGTTATCCAAAAATTCATTCAATAAATTTTCATACAATTCCTTTGGCAAGATTTCTCTATAAGGTAATATATTTTTTGAAAATTCTTTGGAAGTAAAATTATGAAATCTAATAAAAGGAATACATTGTTGTAAAGTATTCTTTAAAGCATCGAAATCACCTTTTGAATAGCTTTTCGGATCAGAGGAAAGTTCAGGATTTTGTGCAAGACCCCATTTAATCACATGTTCCCAAACTTGAACTTCGTTCATTTGAAGATTATCATTCTGAATAATCGTAACCAAAAGTTTTTCTGGAATTGAAGAAAATCTTGGCGAATTAAATATCTTATTCGGTTCTTTGGAAATTAATTTATTACAATATTTTTGAAGTTCTGGAAAAGAATTGTTTTCAAAACTTATTTGATATATCAAATCAAAATTCTGATCTATCGAGTCTTTTTTGCTTTCTATCAAAAAGGTTTCTAAAAAGGGAGTTAATTCTTGAAGACCAAGTTCGTTGGCGGTAATTAAAATTTTAATAATATCAGAAATATCACATTCTTCAAAAGAAAGTTTCCCCCCGTAAATATATCTAAAAGTAAATTAAACGTTTATAAAATTAAAATCATAATATTATTAAAACAACAACAAAATAACGTTCGTTTATCATATTATTAAAATAATTTCTTACTTTAAGATTATATGAAAAATTTCGGGTAAAATATTTGGTAATTTGATGCTTGTCAAAGTTTCATCATTTTTCTTTTTATTAGTTGACAAAATTCTTCGCAAATAAGGAGAACGATAATTTAAAATAACCATATGAGCGCGAAATACTTTTACGTTAGGGTCATTGCCAACTTCAATCGTAATATCATAATATTCTTCATCATCTAAAATTTCAAGTAAATTTTGTGATAATTTTGGTAAAAGTTTATTATCAGTCATTATTACCGAGTCTATATAATTTTTTTTTTTTTTAAATAAGAATGTAAAATTCCAACCCAACTTGTGGATAGTCAACCCTTTTATATTAAACGGGATGGAAAATTAATGAATCCGAGTTCCACAAAGATCACAAGAAATAAGTTGCACAGCACACATTAACAATAAAATTTAATACATAAATAAATAAAAAAATGTTCTTAAGATTAATTTATAAAAATATTATACTTGAAATTTACACCATCATTAATTCTTTATGGAAAAATTAAAAATCGATCTTAAAAAATTCTAAACACCTCGAATTCTTCTATTTCATCTTCATTACTTGTTTCTCTGATCGGTTTTTCATAAGAAGATTTTTTAGATCTCTTGCAACAAATCACTGAACCATTTGATGATAAGTCATCATTACCAAATGATGGTAAAAAACAAGGACTATTATATATAGCCTTCACTCCATTTTTCACGCGGCTTATAATACAATTTTCAGTATCATAACCGTTTTTAAAAGAGAATATAAAACTATTTTTAGTACTACTAAATCCACCAGATGTCCATTTTATTGGATTGTATCCTCCAAGAATTTCGCTACTTCCGCTTACTTTAAAAATCGTGATAGTACGAGACTTATTATCACAAATTTCATGAAATTTACTTGGCGTAAAACCATCACGAGAACCGCGAAATAATAATTCGAAATTGTATAAAGGAGGTATCTTGTTTGTAATTTCTAATCTATCGACCCATCTTGAGATTAATTCAGCATGTTGAGATGTAATAATTTTAGAATCAATATTTTTCGATATAATCTGGTTACTATCATTACCCAAAAAATAATCCAATAACTTCTTATATAATTCCTTTGGCAAAACTTTTTTATAAGGCAATACTTTGCTTGAAAATTCTTTGGAAGTTAAGTTACGAAATCTAATAAAAGGAATACAATGTTGTAAAGTATTTTTTAAAGTATTGAAATCTTCTTTTGAACAGCTTTTAGGATCAGAGGAAAGTTCGGGATTTTGAGCGAGACCCCATTTAATCACATGTTCCCAAACTTGTACTTCATTCACTCGAATATTTTCATTTTGAATAAGTGTAATTAAAAGATTTTCTGGAATTGAAGAAAATTTTGGCGAATTAAATATCTTATTCGGCTCTTTGGAAATTAATTCGATACAATATTTTTGAAGTTCTTGGAAAGAATTGTTTTCAAAACTTATTCGATATATCAAATCAAAATTCTGTACCATACAATTTTTTTTATTTTTAATCAAAAAGGTTTCTATACAAGGAATTAATTCCTCAAGACCAAGTTCTTTGATGGCAATTAATATTTTAATGATATCTGAAATATCATATTCTTCTAAAGAAATTTCCCCCCCATAAATATATCTAAAATAAAACGATTGTAAGTAAAAAAAAAAATATAAATATATTTAATTTACATTATCTTTTATTTTTTACCTTAATACTATTTGAAAAGTCTCGGGTAAAATGTTTGGTAATTTAATACTTGTCAAAGTTCCGTCAATTTTTTTATTGGTCGACAATATTTTTCGCAAATAAGGAGAACGATATTTTAAAATAACCATGTGAGCACGAAATATTCTCACGTTAGGGTCATCGCCAACTTCAATTGTAATATTATAATATTCATCATCGTCTAAAATTTCGAGTATATTTTCTGCCAATTTTGATAATAGCTTATTATAGCCCATTTTTGAAAAAGAATAAAAAAAGAAAAAAATTGTAGTAAATAAATATCGTTATTTTTTGGCGCAGAATCGGTTCATCATTATCGCAATAGTATAAATTGATCAACACTTTTTACATTAGATTTACGGAAAATTCTTACTAAAAGTGTACAATGATGTATTTATGCAGAACACCGAATATTCATTCATATGCACGGCGTGCATATTGTTTTTTGGTAAATCAAGTTGTTTTTCGTAGATCGTGTAATAATACTTGTTTAGTTATGTCTTGGATATTTAGCTTAATTTCTTATACACTCGTTCTGAGCACTATATACTAATGTTCCTTTTCAGAATTATTAGTATTACTTGTTACATTTTATTATAGGGTTAAAGATACACAACGGGTTGTGCCGATTTTATCTGAATACTTCCAAGCTGAGTAAATTTCGACAGGAGAATTATATCTATTAATTTAAATTTTAAATTTTTTTTTTGTGGCTTAGCGCGGACCGGTGCAAAAAGCCGATCATTTAAACCGAATGAAACAACTTTCATTAAACATCCTCTTAATATGAGTAACCTCTTAATATGAGTGAAAAAATATGCTAAAAGTTAGGAAAGAAATGACATGAGAAATTTATATTATTTTTTTCTTCTGCTTTATTTATCTAATCCTTATTCTGTTTACCTTTCTTGAATAATTCTAAGATAGCGTCATATTTTAATTGTTAAGTTTTTTTTTTTTTTAAGGTCAATAACGATAAAATAATTTTTTTCTTTCTTTTATTAGAATAAATTTCTTTAAAAATTTTAAAAATGATCTTATAAAAATTTGACGTTTAGTGTTAAAAAATGTTAAAAAAAAAAATAGTGTATTTTACAATATGTAATTTATGAGCCGTTCTAGATTTTTGTTAAATTTCTTATTTAATTCCGGAAATTAAAAGATCGTATATAATATTAATATATATATATATATATATTGTGTGAAAAAATTTATAATTAAACTTGTTCCTGCATGATCCTCTAATCTAAAAAAAAATGCTATTATATTTTGTTGTGTATAAAGAATTATAATAAATAAATAAATAATGAAAATGCATTAAAAAAAAATTAATCTTTAATTTGTTTATTCATTTATTCCCAGGGTAACTTAATTTGATGAAAACGAACATCAAATATTCTAAAATTACCATTGTTATCTTTTCTCCAATACATGCAACTTTTAGTCCTATATATGTTGTGCCTCAGATCGATTCTTGCCTCAGATCGCAACTCACGCACCTCAGATTGAAATCGTCATGTGAGGTGCGTGATGTGGATCATTGATAATCTGAGGTGCCTCGGTTTTAATCTGAGGCAAATAAAAAATTTTTTTTTAAAAAAAATATCGATCGTTTTCTACTATTTTTTACTATTTTATTAATCTGAAATAGTGTTAGTTTAACTCATTAGTAACTACACTAAAAATTACTTTAATTATTATA